GTTCAGATAACCGTCTTGTAACGTTCTTGTTCTTGTTCTCGTTCTTCTTCTTCTTCTTCTTCTTCTTGTTGTTGTTGTTGCTGTTGCTGTTGTTGCTGTTGCTGTTGTTGTTGCTGTTGCTAACTACCTGATTTTGCTTCTTAAAACCTAGAAAAAGCGATTTTTTGACTGCCTCTGAGATAACTGCCCTGTCGCGTCCTGTCGCTTTGAAGCCTTCAACCTTGCAACTTGGGAAGGTGCAACAGCTCGACTGATGAACACCACTCGGCTGCCTTTGAGATAACCGTCCTGTCGCGTCCGCCGAAGGTTGGAAACACCGATTTTTGCTGCTTTGGAGATAACCGTCCTGTCGCGTCCTGTCGCTTTGACGTCAGCTGCAACAGCTCAACTCATGGACACCACTCGAAACGCTGAAACGCCACCTAATTTCGTGCCCAAAACACTCCAAAAGTGACCGTGAAAACTGCCTAACGTTGCTTCTGAAACCCTAGAAAAAAATCTTTTGGCTGCCTTTGCGATAACCGTCCTGTCGCGTCCCGTCGCTTTGAAACCTTCAACCTTGCAACTTTGCAACTTGCAACAGCTTGAGTGATGGACACCACTCGAAACGCTGAAACGCCACCTAATTTCGTGCCCAAAACGCTCCAAAAGTGACCGGGAAAACTGCCTAACGTTGCTTCTGAAACCCTAGAAAAAAAAGATCTTTTAGCTGCCTTTGAGATAACCGTCCTGTCGCGTCCTGTCGCTTTGACGTCAGCTGCAACAGCTCGACTCATGGACACCACTCGAAACGCTGAAACGCCACCTAATTTCGTGCCCAAAACGCTCCAAAAGTGACCGGGAAAACTGCCTAACGTTGCTTCTAACCCTAGAAAAAATCTTTTGGCTGCCTTTGAGATAACCGTCCTGTCGCGTCCTGTCGCTTTGAAACCTTCAACCTTGCAACTTGGGAAGGTGCAACAGCTCGACTGATGAACACCACTCGGCTGCCTTTGAGATAACCGTCCTGTCGCGTCCGCCGAAGGTTGGAAACACCGATTTTTGCTGCTTTGGAGATAACCGTCCTGTCGCGTCCTGTCGCTTTGAAACCTTCAACCTTGCAACTTGCAACAGCTTGAGTGATGGACACCACTCGAAACGTTGAAACGCCACCTAATTTCGTGCCCAAAACACTCCAAAAGTGACCGTGAAAACTGCCTAACGTTGCTTCTGAAACACTAGAAAAAAAAAATTGGCTGCCTTTGAGATAACCGTCCTGTCGCGTCCTGTCGCTTTGACGTCAGCTGCAACAGCTCGACTCATGGACACCACTCGAAACGCTGAAACGCCACCTAATTTCGTGCCAAAAACGCTCCAAAAGTGACCGGGAAAACTGCCTAACGTTGCTTCTGAAACCCTAGAAAAATCGATTTTTTGGCTGCCTTTGAGATAACCGTCTTGTCGAGTGACCGGGAAAACTGCCTAACGTTGCTTCTGAAACCCTAGAAAAATCGATTTTTTGGCTGCCTTTGAGATAACCGTCTTGTAACGTTCTTGTTCAGATAACCGTCTTGTAACGTTCTTGTTATTGTTCTTGTTCTCGTTCTTGTTCTTCTTCTTCTTCTTCTTCTTGTTGTTGTTGTTGCTGTTGTTGTTGTTGCTGTTGCTGTTGTTGCTGTTGCTGTTGCTGCTGTTGTTGTTGCTGTTGCTAACTACCTGATGTTGCTTCTTAAAACCTAGAAAAAGCGATTTTTTGACTGCCTCTGAGATAACTGTCCTGTCGCGTCCTGTCGCTTTGAAGCCTTCAACCTTGCAACTTGGGAAGGTGCAACAGCTCGACTGATGAACACCACTCGGCTGCCTTTGAGATAACCGTCCTGTCGCGTCCGCCGAAGGTTGGAAACACCGATTTTTGGCTGCTTTGGAGATAACCGTCCTGTCGCGTCCTGTCGCTTTGACGTCAGCTGCAACAGCTCGACTCATGGACACCACTCGAAACGCTGAAACGCCACCTAATTTCGTGCCCAAAACGCTCCAAAAGTGACCGTGAAAACTGCCTAACGTTGCTTCTGAAACTCTAGAAAAATCGATTGTTTGGTTGCCTTTGAGATAACCGTCTTGTCGAGTGACCGGGAAAACTGCCTAACGTTGCTTGTGAAACCCTAGAAAAATCGATTTTTTGGCTGCCTTTGAGATAACCGTCTTGTAACGTTCTTGTTCAGATAACCGTCTTGTAACGTTCTTGTTCTTGTTCTTGTTCTCGTTCTTCTTCTTCTTCTTCTTTTTCTTCTTCTTCTTCTTCTTGTTGTTGCTGTTGTTGTTGCTGTTGCTGTTGCTGTTGTTGCTGTTGTTGTTGCTGTTGTTGTTGTTGCTGTTGCTAACTACCTGATTTTGCTTCTTAAAACCTAGAAAAAGCGATTTTTTGACTGCCTCTGAGATAACTGCCCTGTCGCGTCCTGTCGCTTTGAAGCCTT